GTTCGTTTTATTGTTATCTTTGGCATGGGAAATATCACTTTCGTAAAAGCTACGATCGTATCATCACAGGCTGCTTCAAAACTGCCCATGCATGTCCTTGCGCATGCCCAGAGTGATCTATCAGGGAGTTTCGACACATGTACAGAACTTGTCAGTAGTGAAGTCACGATGATTGCGTTTAAAGGGACGGTAGGATTAGGCCTACAATATGTTGAATTTTGTTGTTTTTAGATAAACATTTTAAATATGATAATAATACTGTAAAATGAAGGCAAATAATAGATTTAGATAATCATTACAATCCACGCTGCCCACGTGGCTTCAATTAGGCGATGTTGTAGGCATTGGCTGGCTAGCGTCATTCCTACCTAGGCCTAGCCTACGAAACGACTAGGCGGGAAAGACGATTGTACACAAATCGTAAGTACTGCATATATATTAGAAATAGTTATTGTACAAACAAATCTGTTTTATGAACCACCAATTTCCTTGGTTGACGACGTACATGAAATTTAGTGTCTGCTATAGCCTGTTTCAGTCAAAGTTTTTGACTTTCCAAGCAGTTTTTAAAGCAAAGAAATATAAGCCTACCGTACGTCGGCAAAAAAATTACCGTCCTGTAGCAATTCTGGCTCGGCAATATGGTCGGCAATTGCCGATTGCCAATGTGAAATTTGTGGGCTGCCGAACGGATTACACTTCTAATCATAATGAGAACAAATTCTTTATTCGGAAGTCTTTTCTTTACATTCGGCAAATTCTTTATTGTTATCATCATCATCATTAAAATGTTCACTTTAAGTATTGTTTTGCTACCGATGCAAGCTTTAGATTTTTGCAACTTGATATTTGTTTATTTATTTATTTATTATGAAAACTATATTATAGTCTTTTTTTCATTTTTCGTGCCTGAATTTTGAAAATAATTTTCAAAAGTAGTGAATCAGTACAAATTTTCTCTTCTCGAAAGAACTACTGAACATTTACTTCAAAATATCAGATTTTTTAAAAGAGAAAATATATTATTAACATAGGAAGGAGACTTATTTTACTTTTAGATAAAGGGAATTTATGATGTTCCCTGAAACTATACCACCTGTACGATAAAAAATCATAACTACTTTATGCAGCACTGATTTATCACTGTCACCACACACTGGCAAAATATTCCATTGGGATCACTGAATCTGGAGACCTTCCAGGTATATTTTCTTGCTCAGATCCACCATAAATCATTTACACCAAAGAATTTAAAAACAATGTTTGACACAAATACTTCATGTACATCCGGAAAAATACTACATGTAGCATGAAATAATGTTATGGTCTACCACAATTTTGTTTACTCCTTCGTTCGTGTGAATCCATAATCACCGCAGCTACACAGGTGTAAAATGTAGCTTCCTTTAGCGAATAATCGCGAATAATGAATTCTAGTTGCTGTTATTAGTCGAATGGAGTGTGTAGGTTAACAGCGCGACCCCTAACATTTGCTTATCGTATTCTCAGCTTGCAAACACAAAATGATTATTAATAATGACATGGTACACAACATTGCAACACTATTTACAGAGGTCCCAAGTCTATCGCAAGTGGCTGGAGTCTCCCGGAAATCGGGTTAACCTCCCGCACTCAAGCATGAATCTACTTGAAAATAACCCATCTCCCGCAAATTCATAATACTTGCACATTTTTTACAACTGTATGATCAATTGTCTCACAGAATTCAGTGTTGATGAGTAGCACAGTAAAATACAATGTGTCAAAAAAGCTCATTTAACATATCTTCCGGAAGTGACTTCTAATAACTTGGGACCCCTACAGGTATAAATAGTAGGGTCATTCCATCACGGTCACCGTCTCAGATTTTGTTCATTTTTAGGGTTTGTTGTAACTAATTAGTAACTAAGAAAAATCCAAAATTTCAGCTCATCGGACCAATACTTTCCGAGATACCGGTGTCCGAAGAAAGTGGGCTTGGCACCCATTAGAGCCGCCGACGACGTCGTTATTTGGATTCAAATAAAAGAATCAAAATAACGACAAAGTCTGCAGCGATTTTGTGTAATTTTGACCTGTAAAATATTTCAAGAAGACGGTAAATATACAATAATGTTTTGAATATTATGATTGTAACATATATTAAACTTGATTATGCTATTGATTGATATTTCAAAATCACATTGGGTTCTACCGCTAAACGCGACTACCCTTATTTGTCAAATTTCTGGCTGGACCATAATGGGAGGCATCTATTGGGTAGTATTCTTGCTTGGTTTTTATGTCCATATTTACTTACACAGAAGTTAGTAGGGTACTGTATAAGAAATCAATAACAGTTTTGGGTTAGTCATTCTAGTTTTTGAGATACGGGCGAGCAAAAAGAGCTGAAAGCCCGGTCACGTTCATTCTGAAGTCATGTTTGCCAAGCCCACTTTTTTCGGACACCGGTATCTCGGAAAGTATTCGGACAGTATTGTATTGGTCCTATTGAGCTAAAATTTTGGATTTTTCTTAGTTACTAAAGTTACAACAAACCCTGAAAATTTAAACAAAATCTGAGACAGTGACTTCCGCGGCCATGTTGAATTGGCATGGAATGACCCAGTAGTGAAATACGTATTTATGGTTCCACAACAAACGTTTTGTAATCCAAATAATTATCATCTTACCAAGGAACTGCTTGTCACGACTACACTCAGTCTCTATCTTGATGGGGGAATGTGAAGCCATAGTGCAGGGTAAGGATGAAGCAAAGGTGGCAGACTATGAGGTGATCATAATGAGGCTGAAATAAAAGAAGAAAAAAAAAAGAATATTGAAAAAGAAAAACATAAAATAGAATGCAATTATTTAAATTTTGGTAATTCATCACAATTAATAATGATTGTTAAGGATAGATCAGCCACTTTACTTCATTATATCTTATTCGCACCAAGATAAATAATTCAGTTCATTCATTGTACATTTACTGTAGGTGAAATGAAAATGTAAACATTGTGAGCTCTCCTAACAGTACTTGCACCTGTGAGGTCAGCCCTCCCTTCACACCCAAATTGTAAAAAGATGACCCCACACAACCAGTGAGGGTATAATAATTTATAGGTTATTTTTACTGTTAGCATGCTGTGGTTGGCATGAACAAGTGTGACATCAAATTATTGTCTGATAATGTTTCAGATGATGGTTTTTGATTGAAAAGCAAAGCTTTAACCAAATTCAATTACAATTTAATACTTATCTATAAATAGAACTTTTAAAAAATCACCTTCATCATACAAACTTCTATAAATTGAGGTAATTAAGTTGCAACTCATTTGTCAACGCAAACATTTGTCTGAGTTCAAAAAAATTCATCTTGTAATAGATGTACGCCCGTATTCTTAAAACAAACTTTAGTCGAACTTCAAACTAGAACTTCATTTAGTCCTAGTTGCAACTTAAACTTATTTTTGTATTCATTTCATAAACAATGTAGTCTAACTGCAACTAAATCAAGTCCTATTTTAGTTCAGCTGAAGACGGCTGGCAAGCAACGAATATCAAACGATAAACGACTATCATTTTAATAGCAGACGAAATATTAGAGATCTGTTAACACGGATGAATATTAAGCTGCCACCTGCCGTTCAAAAACATATTTCCTTATAATTCATAATAGATAATTATTTGCTTAATTAATTTTCTATCATAATAACTGTATTAGTCGTTAACATATAACGATAGAGAATTTGAACAGTCACAAGAAATTTGCTTTTGGAAAACTATTATAGTTGAGCCCGAGCGAGGGCAGCGCCATATTTGTTGTTGTTATGGTGAAGCTACATGACCACAACGCGAGAGGATTTTGTGCAAATCAGGAACTATTGCATGTTAATTTCTCCTTGTGGAAGCTAAACTTGATGTCTCTTGTTTAACACACCGAATGTAAATCAGACCTACGTATACAATTGTTTTTATTCGTTTCATTTTATCATGAGTAACAAAAAGCATGTTTTTAATGGGGTAAATATTTCAAGTCGGTGAATACGAAATTACGTAATTTTGAAGTTTTAGTGGACTAGGACTAAAGTTCATTTTAAGAATACCAGAGGTAATATGTAAAAGATGACAAAAACATTGCTTGGTATGTTCATTTTAGTATCATTTTAGTCGAGGTTCACATGATTTAATTGTAGTGCTAGTCGAAATTTGTTTTAAGAATACGAAATGACGTAATTTAAGTTTTAGCTTGGACTAGGACTAAAGTTCGTTTTAAGAATACATTACCAGGGGTAATGTGTAAAAGATGACAAAAACATTGCTTGGTATGTTTGTTTCATTTTAGTATCATTTTAGTCAAGGTTTGCATGATTTAATTGTAGTGCTAGGCAAAGTTTGTTTTAAGAATACGAAATGACGTAATTTAAGTTTTAGCTTGGACTAGGACTAAAGTTCGTTTTAAGAATACATTACCAGGAGTAATGTGTAAAAGATGACAAAAACATTGCTTGGTATGTTTGCTTCATTTTAGTATCATTTTAGTCGAGGTTCGCATGATTTAATTGTAGTGCTAGTCGAAGTTTGTTTTAAGAATACGAAATGACGTAATTTAAGTTTTAGCTTGGACTAGGACTAAAGTTTGTTTTAAGAATACATTACCAGGGGTAATGTGTAAAAGACGACAAAAACATTGTTTGGTATGTTTGCTTCGCTGATGACAAAATTTAACCACATACTTGGGGCTAAATATTAACAATATACTATAATTATCTTTCTTGGAATTTTAACGCCATTTTTAATGAGTTCCAACAGGTGCAAACTTTAACAGCAGACATTTCTATGACAACCTGCCTTGCCTCTCTTTTCATAGGGCAATAGATTTTATCTTTAAGGCCTTCTAGTAGATGAATTACAATTATGAACACTGAGAACAACAAATTTTGGTTGGTAGAATAGAGGTCATAGGATTTGCAATCTTCTATAGTAATTTTTGTGTTATTTTTTATACCATGGTTTAGTAAATAGCTTCATTGAATAAAAAACCCTACCACAGTGAACAGGTTTTTCCAGAGCCCCTTTATTAATTGCTTTACTAGATAATATTCAATGGACAATTTAACTCATAAAAGTACTTATTGGGTGTAACATGAGAAGTTATGGCTATGATTATGGTGGAGACTACGATGATGATGATTTTATGATGACGATGGTGATGATGATATATTTCAATTTAAAGGAACACATTCTAAGTTACTTGTTTAATAAATATTCAATATTTGGTTTGTTAATAAAATTTGCTACTTTCACATCCCTGTTTTGATTATATTTACTACAGTAAAGATTAGAGCAAATACAGAATCATGTCCACACCCAAATCAAAATTTTGGAGTGTCAAAAAACACTTACTACAGTACTTGTATTTGCAATTTTTTTTAAACCAATCATTTTTCCATGGAAAATAAAGAATCACAATCTGAAAGATTGTTGTTAAAGCTTGTAGAGGTGGAAATATCAAAGTATACATGCCAGAGATTCATTTTGCTTTCTTTTTTTATAACTAACAATTTAAAAAAAAAAAAAAAAAATTAATTCTGGATGTAGGGCCTACGACTTTATTATCCTACAGTAAGACAAATAGTTGAGGTTGAAGTTCCAGAGAGCCTATCCTCCTTTCTTAGAAAGTCTTGTACTGACGACCTTTGTGACTTGTTGTCATTTAATTTTATATAATCATAAATCATTTTTCAAAGTTTATTATTACCTGTGATTCTGGGTTAGAACCTACCACCAGTGCTAAAGTATAAAGTTTACATAAGTAGGCACTAGTGTGCCAAATTTTCTTCAAATTTCTGTCTAAAATTAATACCAAACAACGATTGTATTAAAAAAAGTACAAAGTGAAAGTAAACTACTAATCAACCATAAATCACTGTAATTTTCTTACTGTGCTGGTAATGAGTAAAACAAGAACATGTGATTGGAACAAAGGAGCACTACTGTATCAGCATGATAGCACAGATGAGAATCTCATTTGCAGATGAGTAAGAACTCAGCTTGTGGCTTATCCTTGAGATGCCCACTCTGGTTACAAGCAGGATGGAAAGAGGGCTGGCCTTATTTAACCTGTTTGTTTGTCATAATTTACTAAAGTAAAGATTAGTGGAAAATACAGAATCACCAAAATTATGAAGGTTGCAAAATATCAGTGCTACTATACCCAAGTGACATGGAGATAAAATTAACAGTATTCTATAATACCCTGTACATCACTTTCTATTTTTTAGTACTAAATTTTAAACTCACTAAGGTCAACTTTTAAATCTAAATATCCAATTCAAATTCAAATATCCAATTCAAATTAACAACAAATCATCAAATAAAACATACTATAATAGTAATAATGTTTTTCATTTATTGAATTTGTACTGATAATTACTGCAATAATAATAGAGGGGATAAGAATATTAAAATTACTTGAACACTAGGGGGCTCCCTTCAAAAAAAGGTGATAAAAGTATACATTGCATTTTGTAGTAATATTATATCCATGGTACTATAATTATTTAAAAAAATCATGCTTACAAAAAAATATTTTTATAATACAATTTTGCTTTATTTACATAATGTATAACAAGGAGGATCATTTTACAAAAAATTTATTGAGACTTTTATTGATTTGTTATGATTGCTAAAGGTAGCCAAGTCCCTACAAATTCTGAGGCTTTTGACAAACGAGTACAAAATGTCTATGGTACACAAAAAGGAAACAACCGTTGCCAAAACGTACTCAAAGTCAATAGTGACAACCATGGCCAAAATGGATGGAAGAACCATGGCAAAAATGTCCACAAAACACAGCAATGAGGCAACAAAATTAAAAAAATGTCTGCTCAAAAGAAAATGTGAAAATAGCAGCCTAAATGTCAACACGGAAGCATTGAGACAACTGTTTAATTATTTAATTACCTTAATGCCCACCAATATATAAAGCAATCAGATGTCAAATTAAATTGCTCCTTTATCTGTAATATGACAACTTTGTAAGACACCGTAGTAATTTTTTTCTGCTCATTCAAAGAAGTTTAATGAATGTAAAAGACAAGAAAAAATAGGATTGGATAGCTTTACAGCCACAATCTAATTTGTCTATAATACAAAACTGGGGTGGCAATTCCGAAGTTGGAAGATGTTTAAATACACGAAATATACTTCACTTTGATAAATTTTTTGTTTGAAGACTGATGGCAAAAGATTCAGATGCAAAATAAAAAGCAGAATTTCTCAATGGTACCGTGTTTATAACCACAACGCATTAACATTTTAGGAGTAGGCCTTGGAATAGGGACTCCCCGGTAATGGCGTCAACAAAAGATGGCGCCATTCTTCTTGGATTCATGGTAGCTTAACGGATGTACTTTAAATACAAATGTGTTCACCTATTAAGTACTACTAACAACAGTGTCCAGGTTACAAATTACAAAATGTCTTTAAAATTTGACAAATGATGAAATGCATCTAAAAACTTCATTACACCACAACAGGATTTAAGTACTACAGGTCAAGGGTCAATAAAATGAAAGTAGGCTTTTGAAATTTTAAAGTACAGTTCGAGGGACTAACTGTATATTAATTGCAGAAAAGTTTGACGACCTCTGAATTTTTATAATTTAAGCAAGATAATAATTGCCCTACATAGATGGTTAAAAGCATTTTAATGTTTAAATAAACTAATATAATAAAAAGGCTTATTCCAAAATTATTATAATTACGGTACTATTTAAAAATATTAAATTGCTAAAAAATGTT